CAAATTGAGAAGGTAAATTATATTTTGGATTTTATTTCCATGACATTTTCAAGAATTACGTATTCCAATACTTTTTGAATATTTGATAAGAAAGCTGGTATAGTAACATTTTTGGCTAATTTAGTTTAATTTATTTCACCAATTTATTCACTAGCACTTGTGTGGAAAGCACTATTAAAGGAACTTCAACGATAGGAAAATGGTCAAAATAGGGTCCCTCTTGCCTTCTAGGCACTTGCAATCAATTTGAGTACCTTGCCATTCTAGGATACTTCTTATAAGGTGGAGAGCAGAATCTGAAAATTATAGCCCAAGGTTGACTGCCCAGTTTTGTAAATAAAGTTTTATCGGAACACAGCCACACTCATTCATTTAGGCATTATCTCTGGCTGTTTTGGACCACAACAGCAGAGTCGAGTAGTTGCAACAGAGAGGCTTATGGCTGGCAAAGTCAAAAATATTTACTATCTGGCCCTTTGCAGAAAAAGTTTGCTGGCTCCTGACCTAGAGAATTTAGTCTTTTGGAAATTTCTGCTTTTGCTTCTGAATTTTCTCTGATTTCTTATTTCTTGAAATGTGGATCCCCAATGAAGCAGTATTCTGAGAATGCCTATTTTCCAGTGCTTGCATGGTTAATACTACCATACCAAAGGCTTTACAAGTCAAAGTGCTAAGCTGTCAGTATATATTCAACTTACTGGCTAGAATTAGCTCAATATAGTTTTTCTACCATGTAGTTTGTAGACATTTCATTCCAATCCTCTATTTATCACTATTGAACACAAGCATCTTTCTTAACGTCATTTTTCCCCTTACTCTTCAAGGTCATTTTGAATTATAATACAATCCTCTGAGGTGTTAGCTATCCAATTTGGCACCATCTGCAAATTAAATCAACTTGTCTTTTATTTCATCACTCAAGTAACTGATAGAAATATTAAGAAGAGCCTGCCTCAGGACATTCTTTTTAAATGTCACTGTTTCCCTCAAGGTTCAGCCAGAACCACTGATAATCTTTGAGTCCACCTTTAAGCTCCCACTCTTCTGGAAACTGGATCTAGTCAGTGATTTCCAACCTTAAAATGCCAGTCATTATATGCCATAAGGAGTATTGAATATGCCTACTTAATTGATCCCTTCCTCCAGCCAAATGGTTTGCCATATATGTCATGTCTTCATTCGTCATGTATTCTAGTTCTCTCCCTTTCTTTGAAGTGAAGCAGGGCCAGATGACTTGCTCTGACCAATGAAAGGTGAGCAGAAGTTTAAATGTCCCTTATGGAGTGAAGTTTTGAAAGGCAGTGCATAATTCACCAAGTCCCTGTTTCCTGTCTCAGCAACCATGGAAGTACGTGTTGAAAGGAACCTTCATTGGCCTGGGTTCCTGAGTGGCTATGAATAGGAGAGCCCTCCCTGTTGATATGTGTAAACATGCAAAATGAGTGAGAAACACGCCTTTCTTGTTTCTGGAGATTGCTTGTTACCAGAGAATAACTTTACCCATCCTGCCTGATATAGATATTGAGCACCATAACGTTTTTCTAGAAAGCTCCATTAAAGCTAGAGACCATTCGTTTTCTCTGTGTATCCTTTTCTGTATGTATCCTTCACAGACCATTATCCATAGTGTGCACTAATTAAATGATTATTGCATAGAAGTGAATTAATAGGAGATTAGTAGATAGAAGACTAGCTACAATATTTAGGGAAGCTTTCTTATTTTTTTCCACTTCCTTATATACAGAATTAATGAGAAAAATAACTCCATGTGCATCCAGCTTCCTGAACATCTTCAAGATGTTTTTCAATTGAACTTGCTGGTCCTCCTCAATTGTTAGATAAAAGGACATTGTCATGATATGACGGACGTATCAAGTTTTACCTTTTCCTGATATTTACCTTATTTGGCTCAGCCCAGGTCCTCCAAGTCTAATCTTGGTAAGGCCAGCCTCTAGCCAGTGACAGTAAACTGCACTAACTACAGTGAGAGCATTAGCTTGGACATTTGTCTATTAATATTTCTCCATTGATGTGGAACTTCAATTAAACATTCTTGTGTTATGAGAAATTTAGGGAAACTTTAAGAGTTTCACATTCCATGATATAGATGTATACAGTCTTTCCTTTAAAATTGTTAGCTCCATGAGAGGAGGACACGCCTAACTTGTTCATGGCTATATTCCCAGGACCTAGCTGAATTCCTGAACCATAAGAAACATCAATAAATATATGCGGAATGATTGAAAAAAAAATCTCCTTAGGTACTTTCAGGAATCTGTGAGATGTGTGGCCATTTTTATTTCCACTTTGGAGGTGAGGCTCAGAAACATTCTAAGTGTCTTACTCAAGGTCACACAACCAAGAGATGGAGCCAGAATGGAAGCATCTTCTGACTCGAAGGCATTTGCTCTTTTTTGGATAGTGTGGTGCATCCAGGGTACAGTAGAAATAGCAAGCGTTCTGGAGTCTCTGATGGACCAAGATTTGAATTATAGCTCAACTACTCATTAGTTATATGTCATTGGGAATTTCTAAAATCTATCCCCCAATGTTTTCTTTAAACCGCAATGATATTTTCTCCCCTTCAAGTAGGTCTTGTATTTTATTTGGTTTCCCATAAGTACTATTTTTTGGCACGGTGTAATTATTCAGCTGCAAGCACTCTCTCATTGGGGTCCTCTACGGTTAGGTTAAATTCATGCAGCTTCAGTGACCCAGCCTTTCCCAAACTATTTCTTGAGGCATCCAAAATGGATTTAGCAGAGGGTTATATTCCCTCTTTGAAATATGCTACTTTGAGATCCAAATTTCATTTTGACCTTCCAATTCAATAATTATAGCCTAAGATATTTTGTGTTTAAAACCTAAATGATTGTTTGCTTAGAATTGTAAGAACAAATTTGGAGGCCAGCTTAAGGCACTTAAAGGTTTAGCCTGCCCTGGAAAAAAAATGCATTCTTTGTCTTGCATCAACATGTTAATAAAGTCTAAAGTTCCTGCATAAACAGAACTTGCTTCAGTGGGAATTATGAGAACATAAAGGGTGCGGGATCATAAATGGACTATATTAGTGAAAGCCATTTACCTAGCATGGCACACAGAGTTTTATTTAAGATTAATGAAAACCCAATAAGTAGAAAACGCTAATATTCCTTCCAGTGGGGGAGTCAAGATGAGTCTTAACTTGATACAATAGAAATGTGTGTACTGTGAACAGAAAAATGTGTGCAATATTTGCAAAGTTATATTTTCATAATATTTTATAACCCAAATTCATATTCAATAAAAATACACTTCCTATCTGATTTTATGATCTTTCTGGAGTCATTTAGAGGTAGTCATTTTAGCATTAAGTTGTGACTTTATAAAGAGTATTTTAATCAGTTTGTACATTACATTTAAACTCTCTGGACATATGATTATTAAAAATTATATTTGAACATGGAAAACTGCCATTTTAATGTTCTTCTGTCTCTTAAAGTTGATTCTATTTTTGGAAATTCCATTGGAGTTAAATTCTAAAAGATCTGGGATTTTGGATCTGCCACAAACTGATCGTGAGAATTTGAACCAATCACTTTATTTCTGTGAGTCAATTTTATTATCAAGAAAAGGAAATAATAACACACACTTCATAGCGTTCTTGTAGAGATATGAAGAGAAACTGTATGCAAAATCTTTGCCCAGTGTAAAGTGTTATTCAGAGATTAGTTACCCTTCCTGACAGTGTGATTTTTGCACTTTACTGCTCTTAGCAGAAACTCTTTACCATTGGTTTGTGTTGGTGCTAGCTTAGGTAGTGTGTAAACATTCATTCTCTCCCCCTTCCCAAGCAGAGACCTAAAATAACAGTGCTGAGCTATTTTTACTAAGACTGTCACCACTCAAGGAGCAGTCAGCCAGTGGATGAAATAGGACAAATGATTCATTTTAAGATAAGTTTTATTTAGCAGGCAATCTTCACCTCCAATACCTTGAATACTTGGGTATTGGAAAGTCTTGAGTCTCTACTTCATATTAAGATTTTGTGGAATTGGTTAAAATTAAAAAGAATTATTACTTTACTAGGTAATAGAGAAATGTAGGAGGAAACAGTCAATTATTAGACAATGATATAAGTTACATACTTACATTTAAAAACTATGTTTTGAGGGCCAGCCCGGTGGCATAGTGGTTAAGTTTGCATGCTCCTCTTTGGCGGCCTGGGGTTCACAGGTTCGGATCCCAGGCACGGACCTATGCACCACTTATCAACCCATGCTGTGGCAGGCGTCCCACATATAAAGTAGAGGAAGATGGGCACAGATGTTAGCCCAGGGCCGATCTTCCTCAGCAAAAAGAGGAGGATTGGCAGTGGATGTTAGCTCAGGGCTAATCTTCCTCACAAAAAAAATAAAATAAAAACCATGTTTTGAGCCTAGAGTTAGGCCTTACACAGAGTTCTTTTAAAGACATATATTCTCATCTTCTTAAGTCCAGGAAGTTGTTTAAAAATTTTTACATGTAATTATGCAAATTTATGTCAGATTTCTTTCCTGAAACCATCAAATAACACTTCAATATGTGGGCTCAGTAGGGTTATTTTATGGGGAATAAATAAATGTCATTGTGTGTCATTTCACCCATCAAAAAATATAGTAGCAATTACTGTACTGTAAAGGGAGAAAAGTCAAAATGATCAGATTGCATTATCTACTCAAGGCCTGGGAAAGTTGAATAACTAGTAGTTACTATGCTCAAATAAGGCATTTGAGCCTTATTTGATAGAAGTTTATTCACATTCTCTTCCTATCACATGCTCTATTCACTTCTTTGAAAATAATTTCAGGACAAATTACTCTGGTTTTAAAAATATGAAAGACAAATGATAATATCCTCTACTTTGGTTGTGCTCCCTACAATGCCTTCAGATAATATAAGGTTAGTCACAGCCCATGATATAAAATACTAGCTGTTGACTCACAGTTACACTAGAAGGGCCAATTTTACAGACTGCCAGGATAAAGATGATTTTAATTAAATCGTACAAATCCCTTTGTACTGCAACCAAACCCTTTGCAGGCTGACTGACTCTGAGCCATCCCGGCGTGTGTAGAGTTAACCAGGTTACCAGGATTCCTAGTTAACTTCTTTCACCAGGAATGCAATTCATGTTTACCTATATAAGGAAACCTGTTAGGCTGACCTGAGTTTGGCGGATTTTTGCGCTGACTGGGAGGCGTGTAAGCACACAGCCTGGAGAGGGGGAGTGATTCCGAGCTGGACAGAGCAAGCTTCCTGAACGCCCCAGCCATTCAGCTGATCCGAGGCAGCCTGCTTGGAGGACCTACAGGTTTGCCTCTTCCAGATCACAGTTGAGGAACAAAAACCCCGTCCTGGGAAAAATGGGGAAGCCGGTGAGTCTTACCGATCTCTCTCTGCTCGCTTCTGCTCAGTGGCACGCCGCACTGCTCTCACCCAGGAAGCAAAGGGAGAGGCACGGCTCAGCCTCTAACCCCACGGCTCCTTCCTGAACAAACACAATGCTTCGCAGATACCTCCAGACAACTTTTCCTGGCTGTTTTGTACACCAGGAATCCACAGAGGCAATGCTTTTAGCACCTTAGACATTCCAGAGAGTGTTTTTACTGGCCAAGAGTTTCTATACCATCGCGATGAGCAAACTTTCTTATCTTTGTTGCACTCTAAAACAGTGGAAATGAGCCTTGGGGTGCTTTTCGAGAAGGCTGAATCCCCAAGGAAGTAATAGTAAATCTAAGAGGGGTTCTTAAAACCTCAGGCAGTGTGATATTCTGCAGAAGTGCAATTTGTCACTAAAAAGGCAGTCTGAAGGTATCATTTTTCATTCACGCAGCAAAATCCTTGCATCCTGCACATGTAATAAAGGACACCTTCTGAGACACTGAGGAAAGAAAGAAGCCGAGCTGGGCTCTTTGTTCTAGACAATGTAAAGAAGCTCACTCTTGCAGTTTGACAACTAGCGTCTGTCTATTTATATATAAGGCAAGAATGATGAATAAACGCTTTATGTCAAAGGCATTGCGGTCGATTAAGTTAAAATTTGGCTCTATTCTATATGTATACAAAAATCTCAATCTGAACGTAATTAAACATGGAAATGTGAAAGTGTTTAACAGACTTGCAGGGGAATTTTAGTTATACTTGGGAATGGCCAATTATAAGAAGCAACTGGGAAAGAGGAAAAAACTATTCCAACTGAGTTCTGGGGCACAGGGAAAACTTTTTAAAAGAAAGTCGATTTTATAGCTGTCAAAAGTGATTTGGAATCAGGTATAAATTTTTATTTTTTATTTTTTCATGGCAAGGTGGTTTTCTTAATTGAGTTAGCTTGGGTAATTGTTTTGAATTATTTGACTGCTCATCTATCAAAGAAATATTATCATTTTCTGTCATGCACAGTGACTTAATCCTGAGTTTGGGGAGCAGGATTGTGCTACTGATTGCGGCAAGTGGCATGAGAACCCAATTTCTGATTTCTCATATTAAGAAATTAATTTCTTAAATTAATTTCATGAAAAGTAATCAGCAAACAAGCAGATCTGAGAGAATGACCACTTTTTTAAAAAATTGCAAGTCATGGTCCATTCCCTAGTGAGGCCATTGATTTAATACAGGGATTGGCAACTGCTTATTCATAAAAACAAAAGCCAAGGCCAGTTTTACTTAGGGCCCTTGACTTGAAAAAGCATAACTGTTCCCAGTAACGCAGTTTAAACGAAACCTGCTCATCATCTCTATGAGAACAAAACCTAGAAAAGCCGTGTGTGTACTCCAGTAGACGTTTAATAAATACAATTCTTAATGGCACAAGCAGCAGAACTGAGGGGACTAATGCAAATGTTTTGAAGCTTGTTAGCTCCTAGGTGCTGCTCAGAAAAACAGGAGTCTTGATACTGTGTTGCTTTCAGTGGGAATCAGTAACCCAGGAGACACAAAACACTTATTTTAAAATATATGGTCAATAACAGATGTTTATACCAGGTTGCCTCACCCTGCCGATGAGATGGCCCCAAGCCAAATCAACCAGCACGTCTGCCGTTTTTCCTGTGAGTTGATATGTACACAGTTTTTATACACTAATTACATCAACAGCCAAGGGAGTATATAACCAGAAAGATAGATAAGTCTCTGGGGGTGAGGAGGGCCGGGGGTAAGCATAGGGTTTTTGACTCTCATGTATAGAGTTCCCCTTGCCAGTGGCATATGAATTACTGGAGATGGCTGTGAACCACGGCTCCTGAATCTACTTATCCTTGGCTCGTCGGCAGCTCATTTGAGGGCAATAATAGTGATTATTGTATTTAACACTTTGGCGTTAATAGAGTTCCAAGAGGATTCCTTCTTGAAGATTAAAGTTATTTCAGTGTCAGAACTAATCCTCTAATGAAAGGCAGTTAGAATGCTGTGGTGTTGCATTAGCCCTTTTCAAGTCACTGGTACTGTGTGTTTGTGTGGAGGATGTAACCATGTGGCAGCCTTCTTGGATCTGTGAGATGTTAGTGGGTGTCTGGGTTAAAGGAGATTGAAAAATACTGGGCAAAAAAAACAGAAACAGGTCTTCTCAGAGCCTTAATATGCTCACTTGATAATATGTGTTGTGACTCCCCGAAAAAGTGCAACATATGAAGTATGATTTCCTGCAAACTTACCTGACAGCTCATTTTTTGGCTGATCATCCTGAGGAACATTCTTTAAGACAAAGCTTCCCAACAGATGGGCTACAGAGCACTGGTAGATGATGAGTGCATTGCAGACATGCCCAGATATTGATTCCTCTTGGCATCTGGGCCATTAAGCTGTTCCTGGGCTGGGTATATCCCCCTGAAGGTTATCTGTGGGCCACATAGCTCCCTCAGTTTGCCCCAATATATTGTACAGATAGGATAAGGTTCTATATTTATCATGATGTGTAAAAGCTAGGAAACTGTCTTTGACAATCAAGTCCCAGAATATAGATTGAGCAAGTCAAAATAATGCTACACTGTGTTAACCTGAGCCTTGGGGCTCAATGTAAAGAAAAATATCCTAATTTTTATTGTCTTTCATGCTGTGGTAGAGATGTCAAGGCCCTTTGTATGTTGTCCAGTTTGCCCTCTTTACTCCATGAAGAATTTAAAGAGGTGTTCTAGTGTGTGTGTGTGTGTGTGTGTGTGTGTGTTGTTCTATTCTTAAAGGTCTCCTGGAAAGCTGATGGCAAAGTGTTTCCTCACTTTCTAACGTTTAGTTATCCTTTAACGTTATCCTTAACGTTTAGGGATCCTTTCTAACGTTTAGTTATCGTTTATACTTGCCTTTCTCAAACTGCTATCAGAGTTTATTTGGCTGAGATTTTCCCACCACCAGTGTGGCCTAGTCCAGAGGCAATGACATAAAAGAACCTGGTTTCAAAAGTTATTTATTAAATGTAAATTCTTTCCTTGGACACTGTACCAAATTTGTACACAGCATTCCTATCCCTGGTGAACTTTCTCTGGCTGTCTCTGCCTACCATTTGACTTCAATTACCTTTTCAAAAACATTTTGCGTTATTAATTCCTGTTAGATTCATTCAGCAAATATTTATTGAGTGCCTTTTGAAGTCCTATGCTAAGTACTCTGGAGGAAAAGTGCGTATATAAGAGACAGATGAATTTAAACCAAATCTTCATGCAACCAATAGCATTTCTGCAAAAAGAAATTTCATGACCTGAATGGTGTGCAGCATAGGAAATATGATTTGCTACAAACTTACTCTATCACTCACTTTTTTGCTGATCATCCTCAGGGACGTTCTTTAAGTCAGAGCTTCCCAACTGGTGGGCACAAAGCAGGTAACACACAGGGCAAGATGTTCATGCTTTCAGTGACCAAAGGACTTCCGGGTCAGAACACGTCAGGTGGATGCCAATGAACTTGGTATACTTTCTGAAGAAAGATGCCACCTTGCTCCTTGCAGCCCATCTATAAATGACAGAGAACTGGATGATGCCTCCTTATGTTTTGTTAGTGTGATTTTCAAGACCACACTTTCTTGGGTTGTCAGGGGTTCCTAGGGCACCACGTGAATAGGAGAGATTTCCATAGTATTGGGTAACTCAACAACTTTTATATTGGCTTTTAACCACTGGAAATTATTAAGGTACAAGTTCCAGTGACAATTCTTATGAAGCAGACAAGAGAAGCTGCTGTTACTTCTAAGGTTGTACATGTAAGGCTTAGAATTAGGGACCATGAATTAATAACTAGTTTGTGCCAGTAGGATTTTCCAAGTGTCTAGGGTATTGGCAAAACCAATTTAAACTATATTTATATTTGAAGAAAGGTTAGCTGGCGAGGTGATAGACAGGAGTAGGACTTCTAGTTAAATGTAAAAGTACATTTCCATTTTTTAATTAATTGCTTGCAATCACATATAAGGGAATCTTCTGTGAGTGAACTTTTCAAAAAAATTGAGTTACTTTGTATATTATTGCCAAGGGTTCAGTTAATTTTATTTTTTATTTAAAAGGAAAATAAAAATGGATAACAGTGCTTTGTGGAATATAGCATTCTCAGATATGCTTGGTACTTAATAGCTGGATCTGCATAAACAATGGCTCTAAACTATATGTGCTCATAGGCTTACACTCTCTTGTGAGTTGCTCTTCACTTGTCTAAACTTGAGACAGGAATGAAATTAAGCAGAACCTCCTCAATTTGACAGTTTGAGTTTTAACACGTGACAGAATTGGAATTTTGGTCAAAGAGCTTGAGCCAAGAAATGCTGCATTATTTATAGGTATTGTTCTGCAACAGAGGCCTTGGTTATTTAAACCAAAATTATTTTCCCCCCTGAGTATCTAATTGTGCAGTTATTTAGATCTGTACTGACACACTCATCATGTATTGCCTTGGGGAACAAAACAGTATATAAACTACTAGAGAACGGATAACAAGTTTACTCGAACTGCTATACTTGGCTTAAAGTTAAGAAACAAAAGAATAGCAGTGTTTCCCAAGTTTCTTCCAAAGCAGTGGATGGTGGGTTTGGCCAAGTCATCTTAAACTTCTCTGGGATTCAATTTCCTCATCTATCAATGGAGACATAAATACACAATTCATTGGACAGTTATGAGTATTGAAAACGGTCATGTCTGTGAAAGCACCTAGCACAATGCTGGGCATGGGGCCAATCAATAACTATTTGTTGGATCTGAAATGGATGGGGGTGGATTAGGCATCTTCAAGTAAACAAGGAGTTAAAGAAGTAGAAATAGACACACACTGGTGGCCTGTATGTAATTTTGCCCACTCCATGATTTAAAACTCGCTTTTCAGTCAAGCGTGGTATGTTTTCTAATGTCTTGTACCAGGTCCTCTTTGCTTATTTGTGTTACCTATTTGTCCCCTGTAAGTT